GGAGGCCAGAAGTAGTGAGTGGTGTCATGTGCCCTTGCCCATGGTGGGCACCAGGACCCATGGGTAAATGAGCAGAGCCCTGGTGGCCTGGCCAGGGCTGGGATGAGACCACACTGGGCCCCCCATCAGGAAGGAGCAGATGCTCATGGGACCAGCTATGCACTCCTTCTGGGAGCTGCCAGTGCCCCCGACACTGAGGCATGGGGAACGGGACAGCCTCAGCAGCCTGCAACACTGAGCTGTATTCTCAAGGCAAGGAACGTGCACTCCAACCCTGGAGCCCAGCGGTGGGCACAGAGCACATGAGATGTTGTGAGCCTCCTTGGGACAGTGGACTAATACACAGTTGGCATGGGTAGGGAGGGTGAAGATGTGGAGGCTAGTTTACACACCCTTGAGTGTGTGCACACATGCAACATGAGGGTGTGAAGGAGCTTGGAGGGGTTGGGAGGAGATGCCCAAGCCACCACACAGCTCTTCCCCACACCTGCTTGACTCTTCCTGGGACCGGCGGCGCTGTTGGAAGCAGGTTGGTCCCCAGGGATGGAACATCGAGTAAGGCTGTGGCTGTGCCTCACAGCTCTGCACCTCAGGTGCTGAGAACCCAGGTGGACCATGTCTTCCCTCTGCCCAGGAAGCGCTGGGTGCCTGGGTTGAAGCAGGCCATTGACTTGGTACCTGCCCACCGTGCTGTGAGAGGGAAAGCGGGCCCAGGCTACAGCAAACACCTCTTTCCAAAATGTGAGCTCAGGTTCAAATCAGTGACAGGCTGAGGGCAAGGAGCACATGGCAGGCTTTGCAGAGAGGAAAATCCACAGAGCTTCTAGGGCAAAGCAGAGTGCTGTCTTTGAGCCCCTAGAGAAAGTAGAGTGCTTCTGAAGTGGGATGCTGGGAGGCCCATCCTAAAGGAAAGCACCCAGGGAGCAGTCAGTGAGGAGGGAGTCCCTCTATCTGCAGGACCGGCCACCCAAGGCCGTTAACAGTCTCTGGGCAGTTCCCGGGCTGTTGTCCTGAACTCTGCAGGGCAAATGGACCTGGAGCCCCCTCAGCGCTCAGCCTGAGCAGTGTTCTCCTGAGACCTGGAATGGTCGCTGGTCCTGACTCCTGCACATGTGGGGGCTCAGTGTCCAGGTCCCCAGAAGAGGAGAGCACAGAGACAAAGACATGAGACACTGGTGAGAATGGGTCTGTGAGGCCCAGGAACTACTGAAACCATGGTGATAGGTGAACAAAGGACTCAGCCATACCAATGAGAGCCTCAGCGAAGCCAGTGCATATCAAGAGGCCCTGAGCAGCCACCTCCCAGGGAGGAAACTGCGAGCACATGAACAGGACCTGATTGTCAGCCAGCAGGGATGTGCGCAGACATAAGCTCTCCAGTGGATGAGAAGCGCGGAGAGGTTTATCTGGAGAGGAACAACTGGGACATGCACAGCATTCATGGAGCACGACCAGAGCTGCCACTTGCATTTATTAACCCTGTGACTTTCTGAGAAATCCTGGTGTCACTGCGCATCCACCCCACAGTGCAGAGTCTCCAGGTCCTCGTTGGCCCAGGCGCACCCTGTGCTCTGCTGAGGCTCTCACTGCTGCCCACCCAGCTACCAGCACTTCATTCCTCTCCAAGCGCTTGTCTTTGAGGAAGCGCCTGGCCCCTCCCTGCCCACTTTCCGGTGTCATGGCCTTTGATCTGCCTGGAGGCCTTACTGAGCAGGGACATTGGCAGTTGGGCACTGATTTATGAGAGTGAAGTCCAGCCTGCTATTGGATCTCCCTCTCCTGGCTGGGCTCGGTGGTTCTCCAGAAGGCACAGCTCCTGTGCTTCGGCCACCAGAAAGCCACATTTGGGAAACAGCAACCAGATGGGCCTGTATGGCTGAGGTGGATATAATAGAGAGTGGCATCAGTGTTGGTCATCTGTGGAGGAAAAAGAAGTCATAGTCTCATCCTAGGAACTCAGATTTCCTGTCCCCTTGTGGGTGACATAGCTGGAGAATTCTGGGACTGAGCTCTTCCTTGCCCTGGACCAGAACTGCTCAAAGCCTATGGAAAAGTTGTCTGCCCCAGGCAGGAGTCACAGCCCTGCCTGGCCCAGAAGAGAGGAGGCAGAGGAGGTGCTGGCTCGGACAGGGTACTGGGTGTGGTCAGCAGTCACTCCCTGGCTGGGTTCCTAACGGCCATGCTGCTCCCTCACCAGGGCCACTGAACATGTGTGAGCACATGAGAGCCCTGCTAACTGGCCGAGTGGGGCAGCGACAGCTTCCTGGCAGTTATTTGGACCCTGGAGTCCCCAGGTCTCTGTGCCAGCGGAAGAAGCTGTCGTCCCTCTTCCCAGTGTTTCCTTTAAACCAGAATCAGTCAGGCAATGCCAGCTGCTCCAGGCCTGAGTTAGAGGTGCCACTAGGCCCCAGTGGGCAGGGAGAAGCTGACCTCAGGCTACACCAGGATGAGGATGCCACGGGGACTCCCACATCCTCCACATAGGTTCCCATGCAGCTATCACATGCCATGCAGTGACCACGACCAGAGACCGGATCACAGCCCTGGGGTGCCCTTCCAGCGCCCTGCCCCCAGGACCCCACCTCTGCAGCCTGAGATCTTTCAGGCACCATTTCCACTGGCCCCGTTGTCCACCCTGCCCTGCCTGGCCCGCATGAGGTGCCCCCAACTCCCCACTCCAGAACAGTGGGAGACACAGAAGGTCTGCACCCAGCACAGGGTGGCCCTGCTCCGCATCTCCTCACCCCTGCCTGCCTGCCACCCACCTGTGCCTTCCCTGCCACCCCCGTGTGCTCAGGGACACAACAGGACACCTGGACCCCACCTTCACCATGGCCTGCTGTGGACATGTGGATGGACCAGAACCAAGGACACCAGGAGAATGTGGCCCCTCCACGCGTGCACACACACACACACACTGCCCACTCTTGCTCATTTTAACTTCCACTCTCATCCATCTTTGGTGAGGATGAACTGACCACACACCCTCCTCACAGGGGAAATTTGGGGCACACGAACAATGCACAGTGGCTCAGGCACACTGAGCACCATGTCCCTGACACACTGCTCCTGCCCAGTGAAGGAAGAGACCCAGGGAGGGGTCCATTCCAAAGCAAGACAGCACCCTCCGCCGCCCCTGCCCTGAGTGTGGCCACCCTGGGCTGGGTGAAAATCCAGATTCAAACAGCCCCTTCCTCCTCCTTCTCCATAGGTCAGGGCTGGACTCTGGACAGGGCAGGTCTTCAAGGAGGGCTGGGTGGGGAATGCTTTGAGCTCCACTGCACCTGACTGGGGGATGGGCAAGTTTCCCTCTCTAGTGTTGCTGAGAACTGACCTTCCCCAGAACATTCTGGAAGACTTGTTTGGTGTTAAAATTGGGACTCTTGCCCTGCACACTTTCCATTGTGATTATCAACTCCACAGCACTGAGGTCCAAAACTCTTCCAAATAAAACACCTAGTTATCCTTCAAGAGAACAGAAAAATAGGAAGGATGCATTTCACTGGGAGATGGTAAATTACTTATGCATTGCACATTGTGCAATGAATTTCATTTCTTCTGAGTGTTCCGCCATCACTGGCTTTCACATTACTGCATTCTATTTTCTGATCTCCATCCAGTGTGTTTGTTGGTGTCACCTAGACTCCCAGGGACTCTGCCAGGGAAGCAGGTCAGTGTGACTTTAGGACGTGGCTGGACACTGCCCTGGGTCCTGAGTGGCCCTAGTGGCTTCCACAGCTGCCGCTCCCTGTGCCCAGCCTTGAGCAGCAGCTAGAGTCACTGAGCCATCTCCATGCTGGGTTGGGTAACGCCTCTGCCCATGCAGTGCAGACCAGAGTCCTCGCTTTGGCCCCCTTGGTGACCCCCCCCCAGCTGAAGCCTCTTCCTTCTGCCCCGTCCCACGCTACTCTGGCAGGACTGCCTCCCAGCTGCCCCTCACACCTCCGGGCACCCGAGGTTGCCTTTGCGCTTCTTTCCCCACACTACACCTGCATCCCCAGCAAGCTTTCCTTTTCCTTCTCATCTGCTTCAGACTTTGCCCACGGACACCCACTCCTTGGTGCTGCCCCTACCCTGCTCACCCAGCCACACCCAGCCAGACTGCCTCAGCCCTCTCACTTACTACTAGATGGCTTCCTCATTTAAATATCCCTGTATGTCTTGCTTAGAGAGCATTCTCCACCTGCTTTTCTTTGTAGCTGGTTGGTGTCTGATGGCCATCCACTGTGCCTGCCTCTGTGATCTCTCATATCCTATCCCCTTCTCCTCCCACCCACCACACTTGTGTGTGGGGCAGATGCTCCTGCTCAGTGCAAGGCCCTTAAGAAGGCCCTACTGTCCTCCACTCTCCTTGCCACACAGCTGTCGGCATCACTTTCTGTCTTCCAGGACTGTGTTGGAGCCTCTCCCTTGTTTGTTGGCACCTCTGTCTGCAGAGTGAGGACAAGACCACCTCTGTGCTTCTCCTCAAGACCCCAGCCCTGGGGAGAACCTGACTGTAAGTCTGGCTGAGCTGGACCTACTCCCTGTCATCCTAGAAATCCTACTGACCTCACAACCCCTATTTTAAAAAATCTGAATCCAAACCTCAGGTGAAGTACCTACTAATATAGGAAGAAGGGTCAGACCTGAAACAATAACCCAGCGGTCCTGCAGTCACAACTCACGACCTGAAGAGCAACAGGGTGCGGCTGCTCAGGAGCTCCTGTGTGTGAACCGATCCTTGAGATTCCAGATTGAGCACAGTTGCAGTTTCACCATCACCATGGCTGACAGGGCAGGAAGTGGGTGTGGGGCTCAGAGACCAAGCACAGAGTGGGCGAGAATCTGCACGTCTCATGTCCCATGCTTCACAGGAGACAAGTTCTTCTCCCCTGCTGACCATGGGCGCCAGGTGGCCTGTGCTGTCAGAGCTCACCCACAGGTCTTTCTCTAACTTCTCCTCTCTGCTGCCCTGCAGCCCGTCACCTTTTTCACTCATCTCTTGCAGGTGCAGAAGGATGAGTGGGGACAACATCACCAAGTTCAGCATTTTCATCCTGCTGGGCCTCCCCACAGCCGCCGGGCTGTAGTATGCACTCTTCCTCCTCTTCCTGCTCATCTACCTCTTTGTCCTGGTGGAGAACATGGTCATCATCCTCACCGTGTGGAGCAGTGCCTCCCTCCACAGGCCCATGTACTACTTTCTGGGCATCATGTCAACCATAGAGATCTGGTATGTGTGTGACATCTTCCCCAAGATGCTGGACAGCTTCCTCCTGCAGTGCAAGTGCATCTCTTTCGTGGGCTGCATGACTCAGCTCTACTTCTTCAGCTCCATGGTGTGCACCAAGTGTGTGCTCCTGGCCTCCATGGCCTATGACCACTACGTGGCCATCTGCCACCCACTGTACTACCAAGTCATCATGACCACGGAGCTCTACATGCAGCTAGTGGTCTTCTCCTTTGCCTGTGGCTTCACGATCTCTGCCATCAAGGTCTCCTTCATCTCCAGCGCCACATTCTGTGGTTCCAATGTCTTGAACCACTTCTTCTGTGACATTTCCCCCATCCTCAAGCTGGCCTGCACAGATTTCTCCACCACAGAGCTGGTGGACTTCATCCTGGCCTTCCTCATCCTGGTGTTCCCACTCCTGGCCACTGTCCTCTCCTACAGACACATCGGCCTGGCTGTGCTTCACATCCCCTCCACCACAGGCCACTGGAGAGCCTTCTCCACCTGCACCTCCCACCTCATTGTAGTCACCATCTTCTATATGACTTTGTTTTTCATGTACATCTGGCTGCAGGCCACTGATACATGGAGCTCCAACAAGCTCATTTCTGCTGTGTACACCGTCCTCATGCCCATCTTGAACCCCCTGATCTACTGCCTGAGGAACAGAGCATTTAAGGACACCTTGAGAAAGGCTTTGGGCTTGGGTCAAGCACCACTGTAGGACAGTTAATTGTCCTAGAATCTAATTAGTGGTGTTACAACTTCTATGGACACTGATGCTCTTTAAGTTTTTTAAATGAAATTTAACTAATCCAGAGAACTATCAACAATAAAACCCTTCATCTGGATATGCTTTCAGAAAAGGACCACGCTCATGGTTCTGGCTCCCAGATGGATCAGGAACCAGGTGTTTCTTTCTTGCTTCTCCTGATCTGCCAAAAAGAACCACTCTCTGGACAGAAGGACAGATCAGAGTTCACTGTTTTGAGGATTTTGTGAATGTAATCATGAAGCATTTGTGCTTTCATGCTTTGCTTCTTTGGTTAAACATGACCCATATGGGAATCCTTGCTGCTTTTGCATGTGGCAGTAATTCATGCCTTCTCTCTGCTGTGTAATGTGAGGATATCTATCAACATACATTTGTGTGCTTTATTGTTGATGGAAAGTATTACACATCCTGCCTATTGGGGATAATGTTGCTGTAGATGTTATAGTTGGTGTCTTTTGATTCATATGCATACAGTTTTGGAAGCTACATAAAACTGTACCTCAGGGAGTCCTAAGTACATTCTGACTATGCATATAATTGCTGCAGTGTAAGGTAGGTGAACAATCAGGTTCAGTAGAAACTGCAAAACTGTTATCTAAAGCAGATGCACTACTTTTCAGCCCTGTTGGCAGTACTGGAGAATCCAGTAGCTTAGCAACGCTGAGTATGGTAAACGTACTTCTGTTTAGCCACTGGTCCTGGGTTGTGATGGTATCTCATGATTTAAATTTGGTTTCCCCCAGTAAGAAGTGATACTGGCCCCCTTTTCACATTTGGTGGCCAGTTGTCCCTTTGGATGTCCCTGTTGTGAAGCACCTGTTCATGTCTCCCTTTTACCACGGGGGTCTCTTCGCACTTAGGACTTAGGTATGCTGGATCCAAGCCCTCTGCTGGCTTCATTTATGTGAAAACCTTATTCGGCAGGTGGGTTTGCCTTGTGGTCTCCTAATGGTGTCTTTTGATGAAGAGTTCTTTTTATTTTGATATCCAATATGTACATCTTCCCCCTCTGTATTACTTATTTTCCACGTAGGGGATGTTTGCCTCTGTGGAGGTCATGACATTCTCCCATTTCATGCGAGGCACACTACTGTTTTGCCTTTTGTGTTTACATCTGCATCCTAGCTGAATTAACTTTCATTTTTGGTGAGAGGTGCCCCATCTGCTTTATGTGGCGTCATATTGGCCCAGTGCCTACACCCTGTTTGTTAACCAGTTCACAGGATTCCTTCCGCACCGTCAGAGACCCAAGGACAAACCTGCACGGCTCCTGTGTGTGGACCCCACCTGCTCCAGGACCCCTCACCTGCTCCTGCACAGCTCCGTGTGGCTGTGGCACTGTGGCTTCTGCTGTCTGTCGGCTTCCTGTCGTCCTCGTCCCACTCAAGGTTGCCTTGGCTGCTGTTAGCTCTTCCTGAATGGACAGACTCACACTGTGGCGTCCGCTTGTCAACAGAAGAATAACTTGTTGGGTTTTGTTGGGACTGAGCTGGGTCCATAGGTGAAGTTGAAGATGAATGTCATGTTCACAGTTTTGAGAATTTTCATCCAAAACAAGACATTTCCCCCTCTTCATGTACAATTCATTCATATACAATGCCTCGATATTTTTTATAGTTTTTGTGGTGTAGGAGTCTTTCACATTTTTCTGATGTCTTGTTAAAAATAGATTCTAATGCAAATAGGGTTTTTCAAATTTTAAGTGTGTGTGTTTTATTCTTTTATGTTGGTACATATCATACACATTTTTAAACTTTCTTTTGGGAATAATTTTAGATTTATAGGAAAATGTAAAATCTATGCACAGGGGCCTGTGTGCCCATCTCCTGTCCCCCAGCAGTGCCATCTTGCCTGACTATGGTGCACTGTCAACACCAAGAAGTCAACTGTGGTACAACATGCAGCACTTGTTCAGTTTCCACCAACTACACATGCATTTGGTTATGTGGGGGCGGGGAGTGTATCCATAGCTCTGAACGATCTATCACCTGTGCAGGAAGCTTCAGGGCTACCGCCATAATCCAAATAGGAGCATTTCCGTCACCGACAGACATCCTCATGTTACGACTCTGTAGCCATGCTCCCTCTTTCCTGGCCTCTAGCAGCCACTAGTTTGCTCTCCATTCACCCTAACTTTGTTATTTCAAGGACATTAAATGCAAAGAAACATGCTATGTCAGCCTTTGGAGACTGGCTTCTTTCCATTCCACATAAATCCCTTCAGATCCACCCAAGTCGTTATCTGTGTCTGTGCTTTTTATAGCTGATTAGTATTCCATAGTGCGGCTGTGGCTTGGTTTGCTGATCCACTGATCTATCGAAGAGTAAGAGTGTGATTTCCAGTTCTGGATGGTATGAATGAAGACACTGTGGACACTGATGTACATGCTTCTCAGAGAACCCACATTCTCATTTCCCTGGGATAAGTGCCCAATGGTACAACTGCAGGATTATACAGTAAGTCAATTTTTAGTTTTAAAAGAAAGTGGCAGTCTCTGCTTGAGAAGCTGTAACATTTACATCCTCTCTGGACATGTACAAGTAAATTTCTGTGTCCTTTCCAAAATTTGATGTTATCCTTCTGTTGTTTCATCTTAGTACTTCTGTTAAGATTCTAGTAATAGCTCATTGTGGGCTTCACTTTTTCCTAGTTGCTAGTGAGGTTGATCATGCCTTCAAGTGCTTATGTGCCATATAGATGTCCTCTTTGGTGAAATTTCTCTTTGTGTCTTCTACCTGTTTTTGAAATGCACAGTTTGCTTCTTTGTGCTCTCAGTTTGTATTCCAGATAAAAGCCCTTTTGCTAATCTGTGGCCTGCAGATATCCTCTACGTTTCTGTAGTTTGTCTTTTTAGCCTCTTAAAAGCATCTGTCATAGAGTAAGAGTTTTTGATTTTCATGAGGTTCAGTTTGTCAGCTTTTCCTTTTATGAATTTTGATGTTTCTTCACAATTCTTTCCCCAGTCCAAAGTCTTTATCCTAGATTTTTCCTAAAAGCTTTGTAGTTTTTAAATTTAAGTGCACAATCCATTTTGAGTTAAGTTGTGAGGTGTGAAGTTCATATCAAGGTGCATGCAGCAGGGCTGTCCAGTTGCTCTACGTGATCTTCTGTAGGAATGCATTTGCAGGGCTGTCAGGCGTCTAGCAGAGAATATCTGTATGTGTTTGTTTCTGTCTCCTGTGCTCTTGTTCATGATCTCTGTGTCTATCCACACCACAACCTCCATCAGTACCACACTTTCTTGATTAACATCATTATGTAATAAACCTTAATGCTGGAAGCATGGTTCTTGTAACTTTATTCTCCTTTTTCAAAGTTATTGTGGTTAATCTAAGGCCTTTACATTTCCACATAAATTTTATAGTAAGCTTGTTTATGTCTACCGAAAGCCTTCCTGAGATTTTTGACACCAATTCCATTAAGCTGATAGATCAATTTGAGGAGAACTGGCACTGCCCGCTTTCTTCGGACCCTCCCATCTTGTGGTCTACTTCGATTCCTTCTTCAGGTTGTTGAACTTCTCAGCATACAGATCCTGTGCATGTTTTGCTAGACGTATCATATTTATTGCAGCAATTGTCAGTGGTATTCCACCTTTATTTTAGTTTCCTTTGTTTCTTGTTCGTATCTAGAATGCTGTATCATTTTGTGTGTTTATCTTGTATTTTGCCATCTTCATTTATTAGTTCTAGGACCTTTTTTGTAGATTCCTTTTGGTTTTCTATATAAGTGATCATGCCATAAACAAATAAGGACAGTTAAATTACTTCATTTCAAATCTGTATAATGCATATCAGGTTCACACACAGGCATGCTAGTCACTGAAAGCATGTCTGTAACATCCAGTTTGTTAGCCCCAAGTTTACCTGGCCTAGCTCATCCCCCCTCTAGATGAAGGACACTAAGGAAAGCATAGCTACAATGGTTTTAGGATTTACAGGGACATCCAAAAGCCAGCTGTTCCATCCAGTTCCAGATACTCTGGAGCTGTGCCTAGAGTCTCAAGTCATTGTCTTTCTTCTGCAGCCACCTCAGATCCCAGAAGAAGCAGCCACGATGAGGTCACACCTTCCCGCAAATGGGAAAACTACTGCATGATGGGAACCGAGGATGCCCCAAAACAGGAGTCAGCATCTCATCTCATGGTGGGAACTGAATTGGCCCCTCCAGGGATAATGGCTCCCAGGGCCTCACAGGACCAGTCCTGAGATGCCAATCAGCTGGACCAGCACTTGACCAGACTCACCTACCCAGCTAACTATGCAAACCGCCCAGCTCTGCACACCCCAGCCTTTACCTTTGCCCCATTTTTTATAAAACCCCTAAGCTTCTGCCACCTCCTCAAAGACAGATCTTGAAATGCTTCACCTGGGCTTCCCAGAATGGCCACCCTGTGCTTTCTTTGGCCGGCTTTGTGGGATGAGTGGAAAGGCCTGGTCTGCTTGGATCCCCAGAGCCACGGTTTTTACTCCAAAATTCCAGTAATGCCATCATTGCAAAACGTATACCTGGAATCACCCTCAATTGGGACAGCTATTTTCACCCAAGGTACTTTCTTGGAGTTGTGGCACATATGGATTTCCTGAGCAGTTTACCTCCCTATGTCATTCTCAGCTTGTTTAACCTCTGGGCCTTCTGGAAAGACATTGAATTTGACTCCAGTTTTTGCATACAATAAGTAATTAAGCTGTGATGACATTTATGTACAAGCTTTTGTGTAGACAGAAGTTTCCAGGGAGGCAGCAAGACAAGTGGCACAAAAGAAAGTGATTGCATAACATTAAGGTCTAGATCAAGCCACACCTCCAGCCAGTTACATGCTAAATCTCTATTGCTATGAGATTTACATCGTTTGGCTTGTATAACTACTACTAACACAGTGAATATTTTATAATATCTCAAATGAAAACTTGAAGGGAATATGTTTAGGGGATTTTTATACATGTACATTACATAAACATAGATCCTACTTGTAAATTTTTACATTGTATGTGATTCAAAATAGTGCATGTAGAATTATTATTGTAGTTGAAAAATACCTTTTATTAATGCAGAAACACCAGACTTTTTCTCTCGTATGAACTACTATTGAATTGTCTCTTGTTTTCCTTACCATAGTTGAGGTTACAGAATTGCTCAGATCAAATTTTGACAATTGTGTTTCTTAGGACATGAATTTCTCATGGAGCTCATATGGAAGAGAATCTCCTGTGTTGCTGTGTCCCTTTCTCTGCTCAGTGTTTGGGTTGTGGCTTGCTATCAAGGCCCAATGGCCGGAACTTCATAGTGAGCTGGACACGAGTGGTCTCACTTTTCACAAGATTTCAAACATAGTTCACTTCTGTGGGTTAATAGCTCGGTTCACAGTAGTTATGAGATTATGTTTAAATGCATTTTTTTGGTTTAAAAAAGTTTTGGGTGTGGGTTAGTAAATTTAGCCTTTAGATGTTTACTTTACACAAGGGACTCCTTGGACATAGCACTTTGGCTAGACTGACATAAATCCATGAGGTTCTAACAGGCCAACTTGAGTGGATTCCTTTTCCTTGGTTCTCCTTTCCCTGCAGAGTTCTTATTTCATTGTCCCTGTTTCTGGATCCGCACTCCTTTGATTTGTGGATGTTGAGGTTTGTTGAGAAGGAGGATGGAGCAAAGTTTCAAGGGTGAAATTGCAGTGTGTTAGAGCATGGGGGAAATGCATCACACACTTCCCTACATGGAGCACCACACTGCAGAGCTCCATCTTCACCTGAAAGGCTCTGCAGCTCTAAAACAGTTCCTCCTTTCTTTCTTGAACAAAATGTGAGCTGGTGTCAAGGAATTAAAGAGAATTGCTTGTCTGTCCACCTCAGCTCTGTTTTCTGCACATTTCATTCTGCTGTCTTCTGTGCTGTAATTCACACTTTTCATACCATTTCTCATCTGGAAAATTGGTTGTCTTGTAAATATCATAAGGCTGGGTATGGTGGCACACACCTGTAATTCCAGCACTCAGGAGGCTGAGGCAGGAGGAGGATTGCTGTGAGTTTGACACCAGCCTGGACTACGTAGTGAGTTCCAGGTCAGTCTCAACTACATAGTGAGACCCCGTCTCAAAAAAAAGAAAAAAAAAAGAGTTCAATTGTAAATAGACTATTGTGGCCATTTATGAAAAGTAGCTTGGGAAACATTACACCTCACAATATTCACAGAAATTGTCAGTGCTCTGAGGAGACCTGCCACAGTGGACTCTGCCTCCATCAGCTTTCCTGGTGCAGCTGGGCTCTGGACAAGGGTTTCAGGAGGGAGGGGAGGCAAGGCAAGCACAGGGCAGGGGTGGGGGGAGCTCCCAAATACAGCAGTAGATAATTGTGACATTTGGTTAAGATAGTGGGTGTACTTTATGACAGAGGTGCCTGGTGCTTAATTTAATGTTATTTTCTGTTTCCTACAGGGAAAAAAATGTGATCCTTTTTTCATTATGTGATCTGTAAAAACTATCACTCATGAGAACCTTGTCATGTGACAGATAAGGGACTGTCTTTTTCTGCAGTGAGACTGGGACTGAGAACTGAAGGCAGATGCAAATGGAAAGGGTAATGAAGCAGAAGAAATCTCAAGGCAGGGTTCTTCTCCCATTACCCAGAATTCTTGGAAACACTGAGAAGGACAGTGGCCTTCTAGAGACACAGAGACATCCGGGAGGCTTTGTGTCATCTGATTTGAATAGTGAGTGGTGACTCTGGAGGCTGGGGGATTTGGGCTGTCTTGTTACACCTGTGCACAAAGGAAATCTATGTCGTTCTGTGGCTACTGCACCAGGAGCTTTGCACGGGCTGGGACACAACTAGTGTCTGAATCATTTTCTTGTTACTGGGACAAAACACCCGACACCCACAGTTTAAGTAAGAGAGGTTTATTCTGGTTCACTTTGCAGTCCAGAGGCTCTGAGGCAGGACGCCATGTCACAGGACCAGGAAGAGGAAGAGCTGCTCACCTCATGGTACACGGGAATCAGAGAGGAGAGGACCTGGGAAGGGAGACACAGCCTTCTGGGTCACGCCCACAGTGATCTCCCTTCTCCCCACCTCCAACAGCAAGTCAGTACAGTGCACCATAATCCAGTCAGCGAGTCCCAAACCCCAAATCCATAATCCAGTCCCAAGTCCCACCTCTGAGTGACTGAGGCTTTAGAGGGACTCCTAGATATAAACCATAACAGCCAGAAAGGGTGAGAGGAGGCCCTGGGCCCTCAACGTGTAGAAGTAAGGACAGTATTTCTCTGGTTGTGACCATCTGCATGAAGATTAGCTGGAAGCTCCTGGGGGCCATCCAAGGTGGCTGACCTCCTGGCTGAAATGGGAATCTGTGTTTCTTCTACAGTGCTAGAAAGGAAACCCAAAGCCTTGCAGGTGCTAAGCAAGTACTCTACCACTGAGCTACACCCGGTCCTGGGAATCTGTATTTTTAACCAGCTGTATTTCTCCAGTTAGAGAAACAGGCATGGAGCAACCTTAGTTTTTCCAACCGCATCCCCGCTGTTCTACAATTCTGCGATCATTCTGAGACTTTGAAAATCAAAAGCAGGTTAAATGGAAGAAAAATCCTGAGGAGCATGAGGATTTGTAGAAACTTCCAAACAAGAAGCTTGTGATGGGGAACCCGGGTAGGGAGCAGGTCCCCCCAATCTCACCTGATTGGACCCCAAAATCTGGGGCCCCTCTCGCCCCGCCCCGCCCCA